ACGTTGTGCTCATGTAGCATTCCCAGGAGTAAATTTGCAATTGTCAGTGAGTACTGTGCAGTGTTGCAGATCCCTGACATGGTGTGCTATTAGTTGTCTCAGGTACCAGTTTCTGTGTAGCTGTGGCAGTGTGGGCTGGCTTGCTTTCTGGACACACATCATTAACAGCAGATGAGTTATGCAGCCACACAGTGCAGTATGTTATGAACCTGATCAGCAGCAGTGTGTAGACTTTCATTCACTACCTTTCTGGCCAGCTAGTTCAGCACTGTTTGATGAGACGGAACATTTTTGCTGGGGGAGAAAAGTCGGTTTAAATGTAATCCTTTCATTACACTTGGAACTAGCACTGCAGCAAAGGATGAGCTCTGACCGATACCCTGAGGAAGCCTTGCTAGCTCCTCTTGCAGAGCAGTTGAAAAAAGGGTCAAGATAAAGATTTAAGCCAGTTCTAAACCTGGGTCAGAAGTGCAAGGAAGGGTATGCTGAGACAGCATGAATCAGTTGATCATGAGCCAAGGTAGATCTGGGAAATATTTAGCCATGTTTACCCTAGGACTACTTCTGTGATAGCAAAGACCCTCCCAGGGTCTAAACTGGCAAGTTCACAGAGCAGTCTCTTCTGTCCAGCCACTGATTTCTGCTTTGAAACCTATAGATGGACCTTCACATCCTGAGTCTCAAGAAGCAATCACAGGTCAGGAGTGTTAATGAAATGTGTTTTCCTGGAGAATACTGGTTTGGTTTGAAGAAAAACATGATGATTTCCAAGGTGTGAGTTACCCCATCCTTGCTAGAATAGCCACTGGGAACTGGTTTCCTTTGGGAGACAGGTAAGCCAGGTTTCAGCACCTGTTTTGTCAGTCTTTCATTCCCAGGTGAGTGCAGTAATCCAGCGAGGCTTCTGTCCATTTCTTGCCTGCTGGGACTTTTCCATTTTTATAAAGAACTCAAAACATTTTTAGTGCTGTACCTCTTGGTAGGTGCGCTCACTGGAGGTGTGGTAAGCCCAGGATCAAATATCTTTTGCTCTGAGCTGTCAATGCAGAAGTGATAAAGCTTTGTTTCTCCTTCTTTTTCCCACCCGCTGGGGCAGAATAATCCACTTCAACTGCTGATCCTAATGAATAACAGACTTTCAGAAGCTTTGTATTTCTAGGCAATAGGAAGGGTTATCTGTATTCACAGTAGAGCTGGCATATGACTGGATTTTCAGCTCCTTTTCATTGTATTTCTAGTTTGCTTGAGTTTTGCTTCATGCTCTTGTTAGCTTGCATTGATTGGTAAGTGGTAAAGAAGGGAGAAAAACTAAGTCCCAGAAAACAAAAACAAAGGAAGAAGTAAAGAAAAGGCAAGACAATATTTTTCATTTCATTACTGTGCTTTTCACAGCCACTATTCTGACATTTAGAACAACATAATATGCATGTCTCTGTTCATTAGGTTCCTCAGTACTACATAGTGACAGCCACAGATGGCAGAAAAAAAGAAAAAGAAACAAGCATAAACTAACCTTTGCAGGCTAAATAACAAAGAAATGAGAAAAGCAAAGGAGAAAAATGTTTTGTGAAAGAGTAAATATATCTAAAATCATGGCCTTGCATAGGTTATTCAAGTATCATTACAAAGGGGAAAAGAGAATACTGACCTCTCAGGCAGAAATAACTCATTTTCTGCCCAATGATTTGTTTTGTACATATATGTTTGAGCAGATCTATTACTGGTGTTTCAACCACAGTAAACGGCACAAGGAGACTACTGAAATTAGGGAAAGTCTTAGACATTCAGGAACTGAAACAGATTCTCAAAATTAAAAAGCTTCTAATGGAAAAACTCATAAGTGTTTTGGAAATAGAGTATCTACACCAAGCAGAGATATCTAAGCTGTTACTTCACAAACTGATTCATATGTATGCCACAGCATGATGTCAAATACAAATATTAACTTGGAAATGTTAAATGCCAAGATTTTATCCTTAATTTACCAAGGCAGGAAATAACAATATTATTTAGTGTTCTTGGTGTAGCTAGTCAGCAACTAACAAGCATATTTGAATGGGTCCAGGGATGCCTCTGCAGAAAGATTGTTAGAGCTGTATGATGGAATGCAGCTGGGTTTTTTTTCTCCCATCAGTTCCAAGAGAACTACAGAACTTTAAGATTGTGTGGGTTTTACTGAAATTTCTGGAGGAAGAAAAAAGAGCAGAAAAGACATTTCAATTCTCTGGAAGGGAAATATTTTGATTTCTCATATTGGCTTTTTCATTTTTTGTCATTTAATATTCTTTTTGGGATGCCAATTACAATTCTTTTTTCCCCATCAAGTGACAAAATTAAAATTCTCAATGGAGTTTTCTTTCATAGTTATTTTGAAATTTGTAAATTTTCCTCAGTTGGGAAAAAGTAAAAATCTGAGCATTTTTTTGAAAAATAGTTCTCAGTCCATTTAGCACCAGTATTTACACACTGCTAATATTAGTGTTCCATAAAATTAGTCTGATTCCAGTTCTTGGATTTTGCACATGAGGAAAGTGTTTCTTGATTCTTCTATGATCTTCTCCAAGAGTACAGCAGCTAGTGGCAAAGAACAGGTGGAAAATCACAGTTTTTCCTGTTTATTCTTCCCAGTTTCTATGCCTGCGATCTTGAGGTCTGCTTCTTAAAACTACCAGATGTCAACTTATTAATTACGGGAAATATTCATTAGTCATTTACATCTCTGGTACCTCTGGCAAGCAGAGCAGTAGAGGGACAAGAGAGGAAAATAAGGCTTGGAAAAAGATACAAGCAACTGTCCAGCTGCTTTGCAGGTCCAAGGGAGGCTTGAAGTCAAGGGTATGCGCAGCTCCCACAGGATGTCTCCAAGCAGGCTGGCACTGAACATTGTGGAGTTCACTGCTGCCTTTCATTGAGAGAGTTGTTATTCAGAAAGGCTTTATGTGCACACTCCATCTTCTTCCTTTGTTTTCCCCCTTGATTTTTATTTTTTTGCCAAGTAGGGGATTTACAGTCCAGTTCAGAGGGCACTGAGAGGGATGGCAGTGACACAGTTCTGTATCTGGAGCAGACAGCTGCCCTGCTGTCATTGATAAGCATTCCTGGGAGGGTGGGGATTGAAATTTAGCACTTACAAAGCTCTAATTGGTGTGAGCCTTGGCAAAGCATATGTGCCCACCACAGCTCTCCCATCTGATGCCTCAGCAAGCGGCTGGCACTTCACACCTTGGCTGCCTCTTCAAAGAGGAAACCACTGGGAAAGATGGAAGCACCTCCTGGGCAGCAGTGAGGTTTTGGGGATGTCCATGTCAGGATGCCCTTGGGAACAGAGGAGAATCATGCCTGTGGTGTGAATTCCCCCATCAGCTGCACATGACATGTGTTCCTGCAGATAGGAAATGCTTTGGGCATCCTCTGTGCAACGAGTGATTTAAGACTTGTGCTGTAGAAACAGATGCCTGTCAGAGTGTGTGTCCTCTGTCCCCAATACGTTCCTTTATTACAGTAACTATGTGCTCACTTATGCCTGCAGCTCCCACATTGACTTTTTCTGCTGTCTCACATGTTGAGCATATTGGAAGGAGACAATTCCTGTTGTGGGTGTTTCAGGACTATCAGTGTGTAAGAGGTAGGAGGGCTTTTGTTTTGGAAAAGGTGGTGGTGAGGTCTGTTCCTTCCATGTGGCTATTCCCCTGCTATGCTGATGCCATCTTGCATTGGATTGATAGGCACTGAATTCTTCAGTCCTTTGCTGCTCTGCCAAATTGGTTGAAGTTGGCAATGTTATCAAGGGAGCAGAAGGATGTGTATCTGTGAGCCTCATTTCTTAGGAACCCAGGGTGAAAATAATAACAGGTATATAGATTAGAGGTTTTGCCTCTAATTTACTTCAGTTTTAATGGGATAGGGAGGAGGATAAGATATACAGTGGCCTGGCAGGGAGACATGCGTAATAAATTAATAGCAATGGTAATGGTTTGGTAGTCTGTCCCAAATGTAGATCTTGTTAAAGGAGCCCATCATCTCAAAAGTCAGAAGTTATTTTTTGAAGACATTAGCAAAACAGCAGGCTGAAATGCTTTGTTGGAAATTCTTTTTGCTAAAATTGCTTTCCTCCCCCTGGTAAGATAATTTTATTCCAGAAGTGCCTGTTTTGGCAGGAGGGAAAAGCTGTTTATCAAAAGAGCTAATAAAACTCCTAAACTTGGAAACACTCCCATTCTGAATAAATCTAAAACTTTTCACTGAAGTTATAGAAATATTGGTTGTTAGAGACATCGGAGGTCCCTAGTTCAGCCTCCAACTCAAAGCAGGGTTATTACCAGCTCTAGGTCAGGTCTACTTAGTCTAGCCAGGTCTTAAAAACTCTCAAGGATGGGGAAGCTTTACAGGTGTTCTGGGTAGTCTGTCTCACTGTTGAACTCTTTACTTTATTGAGATTTTTCCTGATGTCCAGTCTGAGACTCCCAAGTCAAAACTGGTGATCATTTGCTTGGGTCATATCATCTCCTACAATGAGAAAGAGTTGCACTCTGAAGAGTTTAACCCACAGGCCAGTGGGCTATCTGGGCACCACAGTTATAAAAAAGATCAGCAGCTTCAGTGCCTGTGAAACAGAACAGAAAATAATAATATATTTATTAGGTTATAATAATCAAACTGAAAGTAATAAGATAAATATTTCTACTGCATACAGGATTTCATCTTATCCTGAAGCTCTATGTCTAGCATCTCAGCTTCTTCCCACTGCACTCTGCCCCCTGGATTTAAGGAAAAAATTTGTTGTCGATAACATGCAGAGGATCTGGATGAGAAGAGGTCTGATTGGCTCAACATACATCTATGCAAATTCTTTCCATGTCAGTTTAGGCAAATGCTTTTAACAATTCATTCAATTAAGTTAAGCACCCATTAAAGGAATCCTAAGCCCTCCCCAGGGTCATTTCAGTTCTGTGAGATTGTAATTGTTTGAGACTAACCATGATCTCTTCTTTTGCCTTCAGGTGATTCTAATTCTGACAAAGCTGTATGACTACAACCTGGGAAGCATCACAGAGAGCTCTCTTTGGAGGTATGGAGATAAATTGAGCTAATAATTACCACCTTATTTAAATAGGAAGAGTCTGATACAATTCTTTTATAGAATTTAATTGGATTTCTGTAGATGTGCTGGAAGGTTTGTAGCCAAACCCTCTCTCTCACTTCTCTTCTTTTGTACTCAAGGACAAAGAGGCTGAAGTCCACTTGTGTTGTTTCAGCTAGATAAGGTACTTCATGGATATGCTGTCATTTGGTTTTCCCTTTCCCACCTTATTCAGACTGAAATCAACCAATTGGTTTATTTTTTGGGAGAACTCAACAGCCTGAAGTCCTTGTTGATAATGAAGGATCTTATGGCTATCTGCCCAAATGATCCTTATGAAAAGCAAGTGCAGCTAAGACTGGGAGAATACCTATAAGTGAGTACTCAATGTCTGTTGGCTAGAACCGATGGTATTAGCGCTCAATAATTGATTTTTCACTTGTGTGATGTTGACTGCTAGACTGATTTATAGGGAATGCTTTGATACTTTTGTGATTTCAAAGCATATCATGCACTCTTTGAACCAAAGGAATGAGCTTGGCCATGGGCAATTTCTTAAGCTATTATTTGGATTCAATGCAAGCAGGTGGTGCCTGTTTTTATTTCTCTGAAAAATGAATCTAAGAGGTGTTTAATTCATGTGTCCCTAGTGCTACTTTCATGAGCTGTAATGAATGAAAGGGAGATTTCTTCATGATTTCGTTGGTGAAACTTTGGTGGGAAGTTTAGGGGTTTTGTATGCAAGTCACTGATGGAGATGTATAGGCTACTGTAATGATAGAAGAGAACTGGTTATTTGAAACTAAGACTTCTTGTTAGGATGAACTTGTTTTGATGAACTTATATAGGAAAAGGCTTTTCTTTTCCAGGGAAGAATTTTGGGTCAGAAGTAGAACAGGTAACCTTCCTGTTCAAGGAACTGAGCTGGTTTCAGAGAATGACAGAGGAGGGATTTGACATGAAGTATATTCTGAACTCAGGCTATTGTTTTATTCATTGGCCTGAAGAAATAAAACAAAACCAAAACCAAACCAAAGACAGAAAAACTAAAACCTAAAGAAATGCAAGACTTCTAGGATTTGTTCTGAATAGGAACAGGAACACTCAAAGTATTAGTACTTTGTGGGGTTGAGTAAATCTTTTTCATCCTGCTATGGTGGGTTAATCTTTCCATTTCATATACCTTTCTGCTATGACTCTCCACTCCTTCATTTTTACTATCATGAGTGCACACATAAAGGGTTTTTCAGGACTGTGACTTTGGCAATGTTTTTTGAAAGGGACTTTGTGCTAGACTGTTTAATTTCTCAATGGTTTTGAAAAAGAATATTCATAGATATGCAAAATATTATTTTTATTTCCTCTTACTACTGTCAGTCATTTTACCCTGAGAAATACTCATCTCTGCTTCATCAGTCATTGAGAAAGATAGGGCATTTCAGCATGTGGAGGCACCTCCTTCCCCGCTGACAGTGCAGAAGATCTGCTTATGTGATGCAGTGCAGGATTGTGTTGAGATACTAGTTTAGGACTGAAAATAGGACAGCCACATTAGAATGGAGAACACATTTTTTGTTGAGGTGTATGAATGTGGGCATAAAATTGTGCTGGTGACCTTACACTGTTGTCTGTTTCAGAATTGGCTTCTGTGGAGCATTCCACAATAGCATAAAATCTCGCCCTGATTAAAAGAGACGGGACTGAGGATGTCACTAGAGGATGCAGCAGGAGCTGGGCCCTTAGTAATGTAGCACCCCTTAGGGCTAGTGAGTGCAGTGTACTTTTCTGGACCTCAGCTAATGTCAGAATGGGATTAGCAACATAAAAATATCCTGATTGTTTCCTCTAGCCTGATATCCTGTTACCAAAAACCAGTCTAAGAAAGACTATATGAAAATGATTATCATATCTGACTCTTCCTCATAATATTCTCCTACCATTCATTCTTCAACCTTTGGTGTAAGGTCTATCAGGATCTGAATAATTTTTTGGGTTTAGTGTATATACCAGGGGCTTAATATTCCATGTGCTAACTTTCTCAATATCTTTTGGGGTGTGTTAAAATTTTGAGTACCTGTGACCTTGTAGAGTAAGGATTCCATAGATTATTTGAGTAACCACTTGTCTGAACCCATCAGCTTCACTTGGCACATGTCACTTGTCAGGACTTGATCACAGTTGTATGGCAAATCATCCAGAATCCCTGAGTAAATGCTTTGGACTGGGAAATGTTGAAGGAGAACCAGAAGAGCTAAAATCAACCTGCTTGTCTTTGCAGCGCTCCATTATTCTTGATTGGTTCTTCAGTGCTCATTGCTGCTCTGGGAGCTGCCTGTACACTTCACTGTATTTCCTTGATCTTGTTGCCTTACACAAGCCCTAGGTGGTTACATTCTGCTCTGTCCTGAGTCTAGCTCTGCTCACCATGCAGACATGCCTTCAGGTCACTAATAAATATGCCTATGAAGATCCCACAGCAGCTTCTCTGTTCTCAGTGCAATGGGAGGAAATGATGAGATGGGCATATCTTATTATTCAATGTACTTGACAGGGGTTGTTAGCTGTTGCTCCCCCTGGCTGCTTAAGTGACATGTTAATTTAAATCTCTCTGTTTGCTTGAAAAGGATAGAAAAAAAAGGGATTGAGAGAAGGGGTGAAACATATCTTACACTTTATTTCATGCCTCTAGGTTTGATGCTAGGTAGCGGAAGAAGACACGATTTCATGTCTGGTTTTATTTCTGATATCGGGAATTCTGTTTCTGAAGGACAGAGGAGAAAGGTAGTTCTGCAGGTACCTACAATTGAAGAGGAATCTCTGTCTTGAATACATGAAAAAGAAATACCACTCTTGCCTCCTGTGCTGAGTGCATTCTCAAAAGCTTGATGAATGATGAGAGGCTGTTTAGAAGCATGTCACAGACACGAGTCATTTATGCTGGAGCTGGTTATAAGCACATCTGTCATTTGAAAGTGTAGTTGGGTGATTTAAGCAGTGTTGTGACTGATGGGACTGTAACCACCTATAACCCAACTATGCCATTGCCTACAGGATATGAATCTGTCGTCTTTATAACCACACAGCTACCTGCTAGGATGACATTTCTTTGTAATTTTTCAGCCAGTGTAACTACAGTTGGCTGCAATACTAACGGATAGAGATCATCCTTCTAAAACTACTGATGAATTAAGAGACCACTGGTGACAGACATGAAGAGATGAAATACAGTAAGAGAAAAGAGATGGGGAGAATCTGTATAATCTTCTAGAGTGTTAAGGCTCTGTGCTCACTGAGCTTTGGATGGCAAGTGAGCTGCTGCCTCTGTGCATGGTAAATGAGATTTTGCATCAGGCTGGGTCTGACTTTAATTATGCTGTTATCCTCTCAGCAGATTTTTTCCAGAGTTTTAGTTGAGGGCTTTCTATTTACTTTTTGTTATTCTTTTTATAGAAGAGGAAGAAAACAGAGGAGAAAAGATTATCCGTCACTGAGCAATTAGCTGAATGTATTGGATTTGTTTCTCTTCCACTTGTAGCTATCTCTCAGATCACAAAGAGGATTAAGCTGTGAGAGTTAGGAGAAGATGTTTTTTACCACAGATAAACTTACATTTCCAATAAATAAAAATGTCAGAATACTGAGTATGGTATCCATGAGCTGTAGACAGCTGTGGGGAAAACTAATCTTTTTCTGTTTGTGTAAATATGATGCTCTGGAAAGATATGCATGTGGGACACTTTCCCTCAGGGCCTTGAGAGGCTGACAAGCCGTGAGTGCTGCTGTTCACCTCTTTGCCTTCTTATGGCTCTTTATTTGGCCAGGAATGAGTAGTTTCATGAAACTTCATATCAAAATATTAGTAAGTAAAATTTTCCTTTCACCTAGAAAGTAGGAAGCTTTAGAGTTTGCTTGGCATGAGAACATTTATGTTCTAATTTGTGATCTATTGTTCTGTTAGTTCTGGAAGTAATTGATGATACTCTTGACATGCCAACACTGTGCCTGAACTCTGAGCTTTCCAGTTCAGGAGTGGTTATTTCCAACCTGTCCTTCATCACTCCTAGTTTCTACAGTAAGAAAGCTTTAGCACATATGCCATTAAGAAATCTCAAGGATGCTGACAAACACTTATGCCTCATATAGATCTAGATTTAAGTTTCCATATGTAAAGCACAGGCTGTTAGTAGTTGCTTCTTTTTTCTCTCCCAGCTGTGAAAGGGCTTTGGTCCCAGCAGTTAGAGTCTCTGGCACTGGCAGTGTGACTGCCAGAGAGTTTCATGAATGGTCAGACTGGGAAGTTTCCTTAACAGAAGCCTTAGGGAGAGAGGTAGATGTAGATTGAAGATCATATCTGAACACAACCTTGCAGTGTGATAGGACAAGGGGGGATGACTTTAAACTGAAAAAGAGTAGATTTAGATTAAATATTAGGAAGACATTCTTTACTCTGAGGGTGGTGACACACTGGAACAGGTTGTCCGCAAATTGTGGATGCCCTAACCCTGGAAGTGTTCAAGGCCAGGTTGGATGGGTGAGCAACCTGGTGGATGGATGAGCAACCTGGTCCTAGTGGGTGCACAGGAGGGTTGGAGCTAGATGGTCTTTAAGGTACCTTCCAACCCAGCTCATTCTGTATTAGTCAGATGATGTCTGCTGGACATCTTGCTCTCCTTTGAATCCCATTGTGGGAAAAATCCTGGCTGTGAGTTGACCCCAGCTCTGTGGTTATAAGTCCTCTAGATGCTTTGAAACCTCACATATTGATGTCTCTGCATGCAATTATCTGGCTCCTTGTTATGTAAGCGTGCCCTCTTGATAGATCAGAGCTATAGTCACTCATGTCATGTTCAGATTTGTTGACATGTTTGTGGAGATTTTCTTATCTGGAGTAGAGTTATTGCAACAGGAGATGTGAAAGTTTGTCACGGAATTAATGGACCGGGTTGGAAGGGACCGCAGTGGGTCATCTGGTCCAAGCTCCCTGCTCA